GGAACAAATGTGATGAAAATCAGGATGTTGCACGAGTTTGGTCAATACCTGTATATATATTTATATTACAATAAGTAGTATATGAATGACTGGACAAAATTCCCCTGGAACCACATGACCTGTTTGGCGAATTTTATCACTCATCAGGTATGCATATCCGGTAGTCTTTTGTCTTTTCATTATTATACTTTTACCCAGACAAAAAACGACTGGATATGAATGCCTGACGAACGGAAAGAACCATGAAACCGGTTGTCCAGTCATGACTACTTAATGTAGAAATATTCCATAAAGACGTTTAAGTCGGCTTGCGAAGAAGTGTTATACTAAGATTGCAACAATATGCCAAGCATATCTATTTCAGGCGATATTTATTCACTCGAGGTCGACTACCAGGGGGGACACCGAAAACATATTTCGGATAGTGTTCAGTCTTCTTCCGCCCCTACAAGTCGCCTCGTAAACCAAACTATCGTGTCAGTAAATCAGCCCCACTATCCCGTGAAGGAAAAATCACTGATCTGTATTCGTATCATCATTCTACAAATCCGGTTGTGGCAACCGAAACAAGAATGCTTAGGTCAGACGCAGAGTTTTGGGTAATCGCGGTCGTCCACCGGTGCACATGTTCGACCTCCGTAGACTGCGTTGGTTGGGGCATATCTTACGTGTCTCACCAAATATGTTGCCACGGTGTGCGATGTTTGCCTAGGCAGGTAGTGGGTGGAAAAGAGATGGTCACACGAAGACCAGGCATGGGGGTATAAAAACACTAACCAGAAGACTCGATCAAGTTTAGGCTCCCTGAACTAGCGATAATTGTAATCAGTCGACAAAGAAACTGAATGATGTGGTTGGATTGTCGCAAATGGTGGCGTTCGTGCATCTTCTCAGATTATCGGGGTTCTCAATTTTGTTCCTAGAAACTGCTTTCAACCGTTCCATCTTCCCATTCTACCGCTTTATGCCAATCGGCCGCAAGAAAAGAGCAACTAAAACCGTCTCACCAAAGAGCATACACAGTTCGTGGTTGTAAAACCGGAAACTGAAACTCTTTAAAAGCTGAGAGATCTTTCCGTTTTATTGGGGTTCCGTTCACAATGACTACCTCTGCCAAATCTATATTCCGGTCAAGAATTACGTCATCAGTACAAGATGCTCTTTTAAATACGCCTCACAGCAAGTCTTCTATGAGCTACAGTTCTTCAATTTGGAGAAAAGAGAACTCACCTAAATCCTTCTTTCGTTTTCCCGAACCTTGAATACTACCACAAATGGAATCGCCTGTTCTTCGTTCACTGTTCTCTTTGTCCCGTTTCGGACAAGCGCAACTGCGAAATTTGATACACTGACGTCCGAGCACCTCACACTGACCCTTACTCGGTTCCGTTCTGAAACAATTTGGCAGAGACGAAGAGAATGGTGATTCACCAACCAAGGAATGTGAAGCGGGAGAAAATGGAGTAAACAATCGGATTATGGTTAAAAATAGAATATTGAACCCAATCAATAGCTTACTCGAATGAAATTGAGCTATTTTCAAACAACAGTGTCTGTGATCTTTCCGCTTTAACCATCATCATCATCATCAGCATCATCATCATCATCATCATCATCATCATCATCATCAGCAGCAGCATCAGCATCATCAGTCATCATTATCACAATCATCAGCATCATCATCATCATCATCATCATCATTATCATAATCACCCGAATCATCATCATCATCATCATCATCATCATCATCATCATCATTATCATCATCATCATCATCCGAGTCATCACCATCATCACCATTGTACAGCGTAAATGCAGTTCTGCAGAGCTCATTGATCGTTGCCAATCTCACACTATACAGGATATAGATACTAATGTCTTAGGTCAACTCACAGATTATACAATAATCTAGTGTGTGTTTGTGATCAATCCAAATAAACAAGATCCATTTTTTACTGTTTTTTTTGCTGGTATCAATATCATCTAAACGACAAATGGACGACGCGGACAAGACAACTTCGTTAGCAATCTCATAAGAATCGTTCGGATGAATAACCAGAATCCGACTATTGTCTGTTCAGCCGCTAGACGAGCACACACTTAACAAACCTACGTTCCGGTCTTGCCCCCGTGCACTTCATTTTTTCAGAAATGTTGCATAAAATGGCACTAGAATCGGTTGATAGTAGTGTGCTGTGAGACTTGTAGGGTTCGTGTGCTCCTGTTCGTGTACTTTTGAACATGTGTTCCAAGATAGAGTTTCTCGTTTTTACCTCGTGTGACATCATCGCAAACAAGTCCTCAAAAAATGAATAAATGTTAAACACTACAGACAACTGAATTTTAGCATTGGTGAAACATCCGTTTATGCTGAGTCTACTGTGCCACTTTGATGAAGAAAGAAAAACGGAGCACACGTATCCTCAAGCAGATGTACACTCAACACTGTGGAACGAAAAGTCTATTGATTGATTGATTTATCAAGACTTTACCTCGATTGGTCACGGTGGAAAACAAAATTTGAATAGAAAAAAGGGAAACAGCCATCACAACAACCTTGATGTGTAAAAGTAGAAGAACCAGTAGATAGTTGAATGAAAGTGTACACGATGATGATGAGGAAGGAGAAGAGTCACGTGATGGACAGCGAGATTCCAAGCACAACTCCATGTGAGATTTTGTTTCAGTTCTTTAGACAGTCATCCCGGTAAACCCAGTGAACAAGATAAATGATCGGGCACAGCCGAGTTGTGAAGGGCTATAGCACAATGAGAGCAGGTTATTCATTGGTTTATTGTAACCAACAAAGGTGGTGAAGGAGCAAGACAGTGTCAAAGGCAGACAGACAGAAATAGATCATACTTACACCATCATAAGCTTAAACGCTTTGATTATCAGTAAAATCGACTACGTTTGCGCTCAAAAAATGAAACTCTCATGTCTGAAAACGCTTTCCAGAGCGAGAAAGCCCGCTTCTGCCACATTCCTCAAGTAAGAAGGACCCGGGCACCATCATCCAAGAAAACTTAAACTGCTCACTCAACTGCGCTAAGGTGTCCAACGCAGCTGTAAAGAATGTCGGTTTGCTTAAGCGGGTCTTTGGCTGGTTTGAGTCAGCGCTTTTCCCCCGTCTACTATCAGCATACATTCGCACACTCACAGAGTATGCTATCCAGGCATGGAAGCCATGGCTAAAACGTGATTGCAAAGTGCTGGAGCGGCCATAGAGAATGGTCAGCAAAGTGATTAGGGGATTGAATCGTTATTCATATGCAGAGAGACCGGAGTCGCTGAGATTATGTTCCAATGTCTATCGGCGCATCAGTAAAAATATGATTATGGTATACTAAATAATGCAAAACCCAAACCATCCGCGTCGACTGGAGCTAAAATTATCACCCAACGTTCATCTTAGAGGACACCCAATCAAACTAGTGGTCTCAAAGTGCCGATTGGAATGCCGGCGTCAGTCATTTGCAGTCAGAGTGTATTCGATCTGGAACTCTCTCCCACCCCACGTCGTCTGTGCATCAAGCAGTGAATCTTTCAAACTGAGACTCGGTGAAGCATTAGTACACCTTACATTCCAACATCGAGTGACGCTGCGTGCAGCGGTGGAAGAAGCCCGTATTGTGTGACATTTCACACAAGGAATTGTATATATCACTTTCGTTTAATCACAACAGGAACCTATGGGACGAGAAAAGCGTGAGCTTGTAAGTTATTTCCATGATAAATCTTTGATGTTTGATCTTTGATAACAGCCCGGGGAAGATAGCGTGGACAAGAGGTGGCAGTAAGCCCGGTCACAGTAAACTCGAGAATGTGAGTTTAAAATTCATATCCCAGGGCATCCAGAGATTTTTTGGGGCATGAAATATAAACTTTAAACTGTTTGGCTTTCATAAAAGTTAACTGTATATGATGCGACCATTTGAAGTTGACCGCAATCGAACATACAACTTATTTGAAATGATACTACCGTTCAATGATCCATTAGTCACTT